TGTAGAGAACCGCATACATATACACGAACTGTTGCTTGTTGTGTGTGTGAGTGTGTGTATGTGATGTCCCCAACTATTGTATTTGATATTTGCGTTCTTTGTTATTTGTTGTTGCTGCATATGATGGCAAGTAAAAAACATATTTCTATATTTATACCCTGTACCCAAGGGGTACAAGGGTATATTAGTTTAGTTTTGTGCGAGTGCACATGGAACACACAGAAGGAGGCTTGGTAGACCCCACAAAGTATATATATTCTTGATCAGCATGACAAGCCGAATCGATATAGCCATGTCCGTCTGTCCGTCTGTCTGTCTGTCTGTATGAACGCAAGGATCTCCAAAAGTATAAGAGCTAGAATAACCAAACTTGGTATAGATTCTCCTGAGCCCGTGAAAGGATGAGTTTGTTCATTTTTTCTGATCCACCCCCCTACTTCCCCCCTATTAACAATTTTCTATAGCTCCCGTAATTCTTGGAATTTTGGTAGACACATCCACATTAGTAATTATATATCCGTATACCAAATTCATTATGATATGTTGATCAGAAAGAAAGTTATAGCCATATAACAATACCCAATGCACACATACATACATTTGTACAAGTACACAAGCACACATAGACACGATTCTGATGTAAATGAAAATGTATGTATGCTTGTATGGAATATTTTATATTTAATTTAGTTAATTAATTAAATTAATTAATTAATTAAATTAAATTTTTTTTTTGTGGGGTGGTACAGGGTATTTAAGAGTTGAGCCTGCTCGACTTTAGCATTCCTTTCTAGTTTATATTTAATTTAGTTAATTAATTAAATTAATTTAGTTAATTAATGTAGTTGGAGCTAGTTTTCCCCCCTTTGGAGCTCGAATTTTCCAAAATCCCTTCTTATTGCCAGCCTACACTATGAAAGGATACTTCAGTCCAAATTTCAGCTTCCTAGCTTTTACCGTTTGGGCTGTGCGTTGATCACCAATCAGTCAGTCAGTCAGGACAAAATGTTTTGTATTGTAGCGTAAATCGCCCTTTGGCCGAGCGGTGATCGGCGATTCCCTTCGCAAAACAATAGCGGGCAGGTGTGTAAAGCAGCAGGGACCGGCAGCGTGGCGGCTGGCGAAGTGGCTGCAGCAACAAATCTGTATAGCGGAGGCGCTCGTGGCGCTCGTCGACGCTTGTCAGAGAAGGGCCCACTTTCAAAGATTTAACAGCAGCGCCAAAGAAATAATTGCGCCGTTCAACTCAGCTTTCCTTTACTTCACTTTATTAGCCTTCAATGGCGATCAAAACAGGCAGATGGCCCAAATACTTAAGGATTTAATTTACACATATGGAGATGCTTGAAAGATCCGCATCAGCGGAGAACACAACCGTGTCGGTCCAGCGCACACCAGGAAGAGAGCAACTCCTTAAAGTTAGTTGCGGTTGAATCCTTGAAGTTGGCTGCGGCAACATGGATCTTGTAACAAACAGCTGTTGATATGTGGCGCATGGGGGCGTATCGATAAGTGCAAATCGATACTTGAGCGCCAAGCTCGCAGTTTGAACTATGTACTACCAATTTGCATTACATTACCCCCCGCTGAGACTCGAGACTTTTGGCCGAGTACATCTTGACCATCTTCTCCATAGGGTGCGAGTCGGTTGACGTGCACAGTTTTTGTAGATCGCTTGCCAGGCAGGCGCACCGTGTACACAAGGTCCGATATGCGACGCACGACCAGGCTAGGTCCAATCCAGTCCGACTGCAGCTTGGGGCAACGACCCACTTTGCGGGCGGGTGCATATAACCAGACTTTGTCGCCGGGCACGAACTCCCTGGGATTCGCTCTCATGTCGTATCGCATCTTGTTGTTGGCGGCAGCTGATTGCAGCTGCTGACGGGCCACAGTGTGAACCGTTTTGAGTTGGTCGCGCAAGTTCTCCACGAAGATAGGGTAGGGCGTTTCGTCATTACAAGGCAGGCCGTAAATCAACTCACAAGGGAGCCGCAGTTCACGGCCAAGCGCCAGCATAGCCGGGGAGAATCCGGTGGCTTCGTTGGTTGCTGAGCGGTATGCCCACATAGCGAGGGGCAAGAGTTCGTCCCAGTCACGCTGACTAGCAGAGACGAATTTGGCCAAGTAGTCCAAAAGGGTACGGTTGAATCGTTCCACCATACCGTCAGACTGGGGATGTAGAGGCGTGGTGCGTGTCTTTTCCACGTCCAGGAGGCGCAGGCAGCATTGGAAAAGTTCCGACTCGAAGTTGCGACCTTGATCTGAATGGAGAATAAATGGAGCGCCAAACCTGCAAAAGACTTCTTGGATTAGTGCGCGTGCAACTGTGTCAGCAGTTTGGTTTGGTAGTGCAATACACTAGGGCCATTTAGTGAAATAGTCCATCACCACTGCAATATAGCGATGGCCGCGTGGGGTGAGTGGCAGTGGCCTCAGCATGTCGATCGCCAGCCGTTCGAATGGGCTGCCGATAGCGCTGGGCTGTAATTGCCCGATGGTTTTGCGTGAAGGGCCCTTACGAGCGGCGCAAACGTCACACCGTGCAGACCAGAGTGCGACATCCGAGCTTTGGCCAATCCAGAAAAATCGAGCTTTCGCTTTGGCCATAGTTTTCTTTACACCAAAGTGTCCGCCGGTCGTAGAGTTGTGAATGCTGCGAATACTGTCATCAATGAGTGCCTCAGGAACCACGAGCACGGGAACACCACTAGTCGTCTTCAACGTAAGTGCACCCTGATCAAGCTGCAAGCGATCAAGAAGGTGCCAGAATGCTCTCAAGGTAGGGCACTTGCCCCACAAGGTTGATTTTGGTGGGCGTTCTGCACTGGATACCCACTGGCGGACGACGGCCAGTGTCTTGTCAGCTTCCTGTTGCTGCCCATAACTGGCTGCCATGATTTGGGTGAACAGCACGAAGTGTCCATCGCGTCGCTCAGCTCGCTCACAAGTACGACAATCCCCGCATGGCCGCCGTGATAGAGCGTCTGCATTACCGTGTTGGGTACCAGCACGGTGTTGAATGCGCATGTTGTACTGCTGCAGTCGCTCGATCCAACGGGCTATCTGTCCTTCTGGCTCTTTGAAGTTGCACAGCCAGATCAATGAAGCATGATCCGTGCGCAGTAAGAATTCGCGCCCATGCAAGTAGTGATGAAAGTGTTTGGTGGCTTTCACTACCGCTAGTAACTCTCGTCGTGTGACGCAGTAGTTGCGCTCGGCCGGCTGCAAGCTTTTTCTGTAGTACTCGATGACACGTTCAACGCCTTCTTGGATTTGGCTAAGAACTGCGCCCACGCCGCTGTCGGAGGCATCAGTATCCAGTATGAACTCGCCAGTTTCACTTGGAAACGCCAGTATGGGAGCCGATGTCAGCTTAGTTTTCAGCGACTCAAAGGCGCCAGTAGCTGCTTCGTCCCATAAAAAGTCACGCTTAGCCTCTGTCAACGCGTGTAGCGGTCGTGCAATGGTAGAATTTAATCAATACTGTCCACATTTTAAAAGTAATATAAACAAAACTTGGCACACGTATCAATATACAATTATTTATTTTACTTTACAATTTCTCCAAATCGGTTAATTCAAAGAAAAGTTATTAGCGAAACAATTTCAATCCAGTACTACAAGCAGTGACCCGTCATTAGGCCAGTGATGAGCCTGCACTCCTTTCTCTGGCGTTCCAGGAGGAATTGTATGTGTTTGTGGTCTCTACCCTTGCACATCGTGCGTGCTGTTCTGCAGTTGGTTGTGTTGTTCCACTGTCCTTCTGCCTCATTCCATGCCCTATGCTCCCTTTTGGTGGTATAGGTACTTTGTTTATATCTGTTTGGGCAACATTTACTCATTGCTTAGCAAGAGTGTCTGCCATCTCATTGCCCACAATGCCCCGGGGGCTGGGGACCCCGTAGATATGCACCTGCTTGCATTCCTCTCTGTTTTTCAGTCGCAGGACCACCTACGGCTAATACTTCCTCCTGGAAGTTGCACGGTGCCGCGCTGCTCATACGTGTGTATGAGTACATGCTCTGCACAGTTAATTGCTGCCCCGGTTACTGCCTCGATTTTTGAGCCGTCCGTGAATATCTTGGTTGCGCATGGGTTTCTTCCTTCCAATTCTCTGATCCTATAGATGTTGTTGTGTGCTTGAATCTTGCATGTAGAGCAGAGTAGCCTGTCCTACTATAGTGTTCCTCCATGTATCGTTTTCGTTATGGTCGTGGGGTCCCATTCCGCGTGAACTCTTCTGCAGCTCAGCTGGTTTTTAATGCCTCTTGTCTTGGCGTGGCTGGAAAGATTTCATCTTATCCGACAAACTTGTAACTTCCGAACGGGTCCAAGGCTCATCCAATCTTCTCCGGTATTTGGATGCTTTGGATCGCTGTTCCATCATCCATGCTGCTTCCGGTGTCGTCCGTACAGTCTGATAAGTGTATCTCAATTAAAGCGGTTGCTGCTATCCGTCCATGCGCCGTTTTCTTTCTTGTGCTGACTCCGTATGGTGGGCTGCTCTGCTTTTTTGGACCTTTTTTGCAGGACCACATGCTGGCCCTTGTTATCTGGTTTCGCATGCAGCACTTGGCAATGGGCAATTCATGATTTTGCCATTTCAGTAGTTTAAGGGTTTGTTCCGCTAGCAAGACACTTGGGTTGGTTCAAGAGCGAAAATATTGAGGTACATACAGCTAAATACGTCGAAAAATAGCAGTAATATAAAGATAGCGCGAAACCATCAACGGAAAAATAACAATTTTAAAATCATCAGACGGTGGGACGCTGTTTGCATTTACAGATCAGCCGTTACATATAGTTTTTCCAATCACAAGTTAATATTGTTATAGTAAATAACAATTAATTTCGGATCTTAAGTAAAGCGGTTAAAACTTGTTGGTTTAAAGGGAAAAGTACAAATTTTTTTAGATAAGCGTAATGTGTTTTTTTCTAACATTAATATTAAATGTAAATTACGCAATATAATATAAACACACAATTTCTCTTTTCAGCGATTTTTTCGGATTACCTGTCTGGGATTTTGCAGATACGCCCGATTTCCGTGATTTTTTCGGTATTCAATTATTATTTATGGAACTCCTGTATGATAAATCGACAAAAGCACACAGGTATATTATAATTTAGTAAAACTACATCTGACAGTCTGCCCGTTACGTTTGGATTCGCATTCGAATGTTCAACGACGTCGGACGTGTTCTTTTATCGCTCCGCCGTGTAACAAATTTAAAGTGCAGTTAACACCAATTTAATTCGCGAAAAGACGCTTAGGGTACGCATGAGCACCTGTGCTCGTGTTACCCATATAAATTATCTGTTAAAGGGTGGACTATTGCTTGAAATAAAGCAATGCTGTTGAGTAAGAGCGCAAGCTTGCTTACCAAAGAAAAAATGAGCAAAACTCGTGCACAGCAGCAACAACAACAAGACGACCGTCGACTTTCGGCTGTTCGTACCAACAACGCATACTTCACCATACGCTCACCAGAGGTAACGGCACCTGAAACAACTGCATCACTGCAAGTTGGAGAGAGCGTCTCTCTCGCGCACTATAATATGCTCAGTCAGCACATTGCAATGTGGGTCATGGAGTGCCCAGTGCCCCTCCCCAGACCCCTCCAGCCTTACCAACGAGCTTCTGAAACCAACAACGACCAGTACATTGCCTTCGCTTACAACTGTGTCTTCGACTGTAACAACGACAACAACAACAACGGCAGTCTCTCAGCGCCCGGTATTGTCAACTCAGTGCGACCAGCTCCCCCTCTCTAAACCGAAAAGTACAAAAAGCGCAAGCAGAACGCTAACACAGACCGGGCTCGATCGCTATGTCCAAATTAAAAGAAGGTTAAGCCCACAATCAACGAAAAAAACCAACGCACCTAAAATAACAAAAACATCGGAAAACACTGTGCCAAATGAAGCGCTGAAAAACAATAGATTCGCGATTCTCAGCGAAGCAGAAAAAAATAGCGTTGAAACACCAAAGGCCAAGCAACTAAAGCCGCCACCTATTTATGTGCGTCAAGCAAATTGTACAGATTTTGTTAAAAAACTCAGTAATAAAATTGGCGAAAACAAATTCTATGTTACGTCGATAAGAAGAGGTAACATCAATGAAATTAAAATACAAGTCAACGACGAAAAAAACTATGGATCAGTGGCCAAATACCTAAACGATGAAAAAATGAGTTACTACACGTACCAACTTAAAAGTAGCAAGGGACTACAAGTGGTCATCAAAGGAATAGAGCCAACCGTTCCAGTCGAAGAGATAAAAGATGCACCAAAAGTTAAGGGCTTTGAAGTCAAAATGGCCATGAACATAATAAACAAAAATAAAATTCCCCAACCAATGTTCAGAGTAGAATTGACACCTGACTCCATGCCTAAAGGTAAAAACGAAGTTCACCAAATTTATAAGCTGCAATATCTACTGCAACGTAGAATTACAGTTGAGGAACCGCATAAGCGAAATGGACCTGTCCAATGAACAAACTGCCAGGAATATGGGCATACAAAAACCTATTGTACCCTACGTGCAGTTTGCGTTGCCTGCGGGGATGTACACCCCTCTGAGTCCTACCCCGTAAATAAGGAGGACCCATCTGCGAAGAAATGTAGCAATTGTGGGGGAAACCATACTGCCAACTATAGAGGTTGCCCTGTGTATAAAGAGTTAAAAAGTCGCATAAGCCAACAAAAAAACGCAGCTCGAAACCCTGCCATTATAAAACTTGCCGTATATACCACCAACTACGATTCCATGAGTATCTTTTGCTCAGGCGTTAAATAACACTAACGAGTCGTGTGCCTCAGTTTCTAAACCGAAACTTCAACAAACCACTGCAGGAACAATGCACCATCAGGTACCGCAACAGAGGCCAGAAATGACTGCTCAGCAGCCCAATGCGGATCCATCCCAATTGCCTAGTGGAATTGAATCAATTCTGGCAACTCTCACCAATACAATGGTAGCAATACAACAAACGATGCAGGAAATTATGCGCAATCAAAATCCCCTCCTGGAATTACTTATCAAACAGAAATCTAATTAAATGGTCTCTCTAAAAATATGTTTCTAGAATGCAAATGGTATTTCACAGCACAAATCCGAGCTCTTGCAGTTCCTCGATCATCATGACATTGACGCCATGCTCATATCAGAGACTCACCTAACAAACAAAAATTATTTTCATCTCAATGGTTACAACTTCTATGCGACAAACCGAGGTACTGGCATTCTTATAAAGCATCAGCAGACACTATCCGCTGCCATCATTTGCTACAACTTATTTACAGGCCACAACAAATCAAATCGAAACTCAAAGCGGCTACTTAAGCATATCCGCAGTATACTGCGCACCGCGCTTTTCTATTTCTGAAGCAGAATTTGTAAAATTCATCGATCTGTTAGGTGACTGGCTTATAGCAGCTGGTGACTACAATGCAAAACACACCCATTGGGGATTCCGACTCATCACCCCGAAAGGAAGACAACTATATAACGCCATAATAACACCAAGAAACAAGCTTGATTTTATTTCTCCAGGCTGGCCTACATATTGGCCCACAGATCCAAAGAAGCAACCCGACTTGATAGATTTTGCTGTTACAAGAAGAGTGCCACAGGCTCAGATTCGTGTGGAGCACTTATCAGACCTATCATCGGATCACTCGCCAATCCTTCTGCACCTTTGTGACCATCCACAGTTATTGGAACGCCCACATTTTCTAACTTCTAGAAAAACAGATTGGCTTAAATACAGGAAGTACGTAAGATCCCATATTGATGACTGCCCTAGCATTTATTGTAAAAATGACATAGATACCTCAGTTGAAGCGTTAGTGTCTGTAATGTCACTGGCGGCAAAACATTAGACTCCAATAACTACAGCTAATAAACTTCACAAATGCAGCCGTGTCCCCAGGCACGTTGAAGAGCTGCTTCGCAATAAGAGAAAACTTCGGCGGGAGTGGCAAGCCCACAGATCACCTGAATCGAAGGAGCGGTTAAAAATAGCCAACCAGTAGTAGACTACGCAAAGCCCTAGAAGATGAATAACACCGAGCTCAAATGGATTATATGGAGCAACTCTTCCCAAACAGCAAACGATTCCCATTGTGGAAAGCTAAATCAGGCGTATGTCCACCAATCGAAAGTGAATCACCATTACTATACGTACACAAAGAGGAAAGTGGGCTCGCAGCAACGAAGAGATGGCAAATGTATTTGCCGCCCATTTAGAAAAAGTCTTCAAACCACATCCTGCAAGAAATAGCTTTGTGCTCCCACCAACCAATTATCTTGAAGCTACCACGCCTATCGTATTTCAAGTTGGAGAAGTTACAAGTGTCATTAAGGACCAAGTTTCAAAGCAAAAAAAGCGCCGGGCCACGATTTAATTTCCCCCAAAATGATCATCGAATTGCCGAGCTGTGCAGTATATCTTCTCACCATTATTTTCAACAGCATGATGAAATGGGGCTATTTTCCTCAACAATGGAAAAATTCGGTCATCAAAATGATCCATAAAGCTGGAAAGGACAAGTCTCAGCCATCATCATAAAGATCTATCAATCTCCTGCCGTGCCTATCGAAGATATTCGAATCGCATCAAGCAGCACCTACACACCAACAGTGCAATCCCAAATCACCAATTTGGTTTTCGCGAAAAACAAGAAACCGTTGAACAAGTCAACCGAATAACCTCTGAGATACGAAATGCATTTGAAAAACGAGAGTATTACTCCGCTGTTTTTCTGGATGTCGCCCAAGCCTTCCACCGCGTTTGGCTGGATGGCTTAATTCACAAAATCAAAATATTACTTCCACAGAACATCCACAAAATACTGGAGTCATACCTACAGCAAAGAAGTTTCGCAGTTAGATGCAAAGATTTCCTCTCCGAATACCATCCAATTAAAGATGGCGTACCCCAAGGGAGCGTGTTTGGACCAACACTGTATAATATATACACAGCAGATATACCGACAAACAGTCAAAAAACAATTTCGACATTTGCTGATGAAACTGCCATCCTAAGTCGGTCCAAGTGCCCAAAAAGAGCCACAGAACTTTTATCATCTCACCTCGTGGCCATAGAAGAATGGCTAGCAGACTTGCCCATGTAAACGAGCAAAAGTGCAAACATGTCACCTTTACCCTAAACAAACAGACCTGCCCTCCATTGTCGCTAAATAACATCAATATTCCACAAGAAACCGACGTATCATACCTTTGTTTCCATTTGGCGTGAGCACATCAAAGAGAAGAGAGATCAACTAAAACTAAAAGCTATTAATCTACATTGGCTGATAAACGTCCGTTCACGACTAAAACTGTTCTCAAACCAATTTGGACATATGGCTCTGAATCGAGAGAGCGCAATTGAGGATACTGACACCATCACTGGGGCACCCAGGTACATAAGAAGTGATAATATCCGCGAAGATTTATATGTGGGATCTGTAAAAGATGAAATCGCCAGGTGAAAGCAAAGTACCAACTTAAGCTTCGGAACCATCCGAACAGACTTGCACAGAATTTAACTTGTCAGGCTAGCCATACACGACTCCGGCGAAGGGACCTCCCCACCCAGCAATAACAGTTAAAAAAAAAATAATTGTAATTAATTAAATAACTGTATTAGATTAAGATTTTACTACTTATCGTAAGTCTCCTAGAGAGAAGATGCGATAAATAAAAAAAGATTAATACAAAAAAAAAAAAAAAAAAAAAAAAAAAAAAGTTTGCACAGAAGAACCTCCATATGTATTAGTATTAGGAGGAAAACTGGCTCCAAAGTTTGTATGAAAAATCCGGATTTTTTAACCAATCAACCTCATCAAACTTAAAAATGTAACTGGCACAAGAAGGCGTGGCAGACCCCACAAAGTATATATATATATATATATATATATATATATATAATATATATATATATATATATATATATATATATATATATATATATATATATATGATCAGCTGTAATAATGCCCGTGCCGCAGTGACCGTCTCAGGGCGTCGAAACAATCAGAGGACGGCAAAAAGAAGTATGTTTAAAAACGAATAGAAATGCTATCGGGTGTCCCGACTTTGAAATAC